ACGACGGATGGAGAGACTGGGGAAATAAACAGTCGCAATGAGAGGAAAACAGATCAGAGCCGGGAAAGGGGCTGAAGAATTGCGAGATGGAGGGGTAATCTTTCGGGAAGCGGGAGTTTGGACTGGACAAATTCACAGATGTTTTAAAGTGCTAATCTAATCTCTCTGCCAGGCCTCCTCTTCTTAACTCCTTCCTCCTCCTCCTGTCTTTCTCGTGGCTTTTCTGGAAAGGATGGAATACACTTTAATGCTTCTCCGGAGCATCATGTACTGTGCAAGGTAATAGGTCGCAGTCATTCATCTGCCTGTTAGCGGCCATGTTTTCGAGGAGGGAGACATGTGCAAATGTAATGAGGGCTTTTTCTCTTGGAAAGGATGGAGAATAGGGGAAAAAAAAAACTTGTAGAAAACCCAGTGCTGACTAAAAACAAGTGGAGAGCAGAGAGGAGGCGAGGGGGAAAAGGGAAGGATGAGGTTTTTAGGTAATGTCACCCTTGGTGACCATCTATCATATTCGATGAACCCTCATTTTTTTCTCAGGTAGTAATTTTATTCATTGAACAGCTATCATTTACTCACTCAATGTTTTGCTTTCTTTCACAACCATAATTTCATAGTTATGGACTTGATAAAATACCAAAGAGGATCACATTGCGTACCTGCTGTAAAAAATAAAAACCCCACATATATCCCAAATCATACACTACTTTAGTCGAAAAACTGATTATTGTCTTGCTCAGGCCTACAGCTCTTCCTTTTCTCTTTTTCACCCCTTCTTTTTCTCTGGCTGGGAATGAGGAGTCTTTGTAATACAGTAGCCGCATTGAAATATTGTGACAGCTCCCCCCAGACACATAGGACGTGCATGTTCAGGGAACAATTCTTATTGCACTGAACGTTTTAGTGAAATCAAATACTGCTTGTTGTTTAACCTTAACTTGAGACCACTCAGCCAGAAGGGGCTAGGATATTACTCACGTCGATTGTTAATTTAGTATGAACAAAATAATTCAATTATTGTTCTGGTTTAATGAAATTATTTACATTTGTAATGCTAAAAATGGCCATAAATCATGATCTATGAAATGTCAACTGAATTGCATGCTGATTTTCTGACTGCGAGTTTCAATTCACACCTGTCCACTCCCACAGAGCGGTACACACGGTCCTTGTTTTTTTAGCCCTGTTACTGCAATCCTGCATTTTATTTTTTCCCATTGTGCATAAATCAATCCTGCATTTTTTTCCCATTGAGCATAAACCAAACAAATTGTCAAGTGTACACAGAGCTGTTTATTTGTTTTAATATAATGTCAAAAAGATCAGTGACATATGTAGTAATCCTTATTATAGGTTACATTTATTTTCTTTAAGAACCATAAATTAAATCTCAAATTATATGGGTGGCTGCATTGCGTATTTGAATTGAATGCTCAAAGTCGTCATTATCATCAAAGAGCAGGGAGAGGTGGTGCATTGAATATTGTCTTTGGAAAAAAGTGGAGCCTTGAAGTTAAAAAGGTTGAGAACAACTGGTCTGTTTAATGATTTGTCTGCCACAATGATGGTATGTCTTTGAATTATCTTCATTTGTTTTTGTTTTTTTCTCAGAAAATAATTGTAGGTGATTAATTGCACATAATTCAATCAATTAATACATTTGATTAACAGTCAAATCGAATGGCTTATTTGCGGTCATTTCAGCTGGTTAGTTTCGTTAAAGCATAAACTCAGTCTCTTTTTATTTGGCATGTCATAAAAACTTGCTTAAAATAGATATACTCTTATGCTGTTGACAGATAGTGCTATAATGAGAAGACCTGCTGTGCCGTTCGGAGGACTCTCTGTTTCTGGGTTGATGTACTGGGCACTGTTGCTATTGACCCTCACTCCTGTCTAGTCCATAGCACTTTGTATGTGAAAGCCATAAAACACATTCTATGATGATTCCATCTTGGCAACCAGCCTCCCACCTTTCCTGCCTGCCGCTCCTCTGTGGGCTTCATCTGAGGAGTAAACAGCCGAACAGCTGTCTTAACTTCTCTTCCTTCCGTTTTTTCATTTCCAACTATCTCTCTTTCATCCTCTTCCCTTTCTTCATTCTTCGCTTTTCTTGTCCTCTCATGTTAGCCAACAATCTCTCAGTCATGCTGTGTTTCAGTATCCCTGCATGCTATATTAAAGGGGCCATATTATTCATGGCTATAGTATTTTATTTTTTCCCTGAAGTCCTCTTGTAATGATATTCAAGGTTTTACCTTGGTTTGTTTTGACAGAAAACCTGAACCAAATTATGATTTTGCACCCTCTGTCTGGCCCTAAACTAACCAACGCTGACTGTCAATGCCACGGTTTCTACAGTACGTTCTACTTAAGCTTACAATGCTTTTAGGAAACGCAGCCCAGGCTGTGGTGTTACTGTATCATTAATATTTCTATATGTTTGCGTTTATGCAGTCGGTGTTTGGGATTGACAACCATGATTACTAATGCTGTAGGTGGGACTCAAACTGCAACTTTTAAAAACTGGTTGACTCCAGAATAGTCCCAAACAGGAGAGACTGTTTCTGTTGTGCACTCTCAGAAATAAAGATTCGAAAGCTGTCACTGGGGCAGTACCTTTTCAGGAGGTGCACCTTTGTACCTCTGATTGGCTAACCTCCAGAGTAGATGACCCTATAGGGTGGACTGTGCTCCTGAATTCTAAGTAGCTGATATATTCACATGTGGCCAATCACATGATGGCAAGGTTGTGGCATTATACCCATGTCAATTTCTAACTAAGCAGCATAGTTTCCGTAAATAGTCTGGGTGAACTATAGAAGAAGCGTTGCAATGTGTTGTTCTAGTATGTCTGCATAAACCTACTTTACCAAAAGACAGTAAAATCCTGTTTTCAACATTTTGACCTTACTGTGTTTACACAAAAGCAGGTGAGTAGGTAGGTTGTGAACCCCGGTCCAATAGGGAGCACATTTAGTTACTGCAATTCATCTTGGTTGCTTTTTTATTGCTTCTCCACAGAGAGTTCCTGAGAGACTACAGGAGCATCAAGGTGATTCCATCTTGGCAACCAGCCTCCCACCTTTCCTGCCTGCCGCTCCTCTGTGGGCTTCATCTGAGGAGTAAACAGCCGAACAGCTGTCTTAACTTCTCTTCCTTCCGTTTTTTCATTTCCAACTATCTCTCTTTCATCCTCTTCCCTTTCTTCATTCTTCGCTTTTCTTGTCCTCTCATGTTAGCCAACAATCTCTCAGTCATGCTGTGTTTCAGTATCCCTGCATGCTATATTAAAGGGGCCATATTATTCATGGCTATAGTATTTTATTTTTTCCCTGAAGTCCTCTTGTAATGATATTCAAGGTTTTACCTTGGTTTGTTTTGACAGAAAACCTGAACCAAATTATGATTTTGCACCCTCTGTCAGGCCCTAAACTAACCAACGCTGACTGTCAATGCCATGGTTTCTACAGTACGTTCTACTTAAGCTTACAATGCTTTTAGGAAACACAGCCCAGGCTGTGGTGTTACTGTATCATTAATATTTCTATATGTTTGCGTTTATGCAGTCGGTGTTTGGGATTGACAACCATGATTACTAATGCTGTAGGTGGGACTCAAACTGCAACTTTTAAAAACTGGTTGACTCCAGAATAGTCCCAAACAGGAGAGACTGTTTCTGTTGTGCACTCTCAGAAATAAAGATTCGAAAGCTGTCACTGGGGCAGTACCTTTTCAGGAGGTGCACCTTTGTACCTCTGATTGGCTAACCTCCAGAGTAGATGACCCTATAGGGTGGACTGTGCTCCTGAATTCTAAGTAGCTGATATATTCACATGTGGCCAATCACATGATGGCAAGGTTGTGGCATTATACCCATGTCAATTTCTAACTAAGCAGCATAGTTTCCGTAAATAGTCTGGGTGAACTATAGAAGAAGCGTTGCAATGTGTTGTTCTAGTATGTCTGCATAAACCTACTTTACCAAAAGACAGTAAAATCCTGTTTTCAACATTTTGACCTTACTGTGTTTACACAAAAGCAGGTGAGTAGGTAGGTTGTGAACCCCGGTCCAATAGGGAGCACATTTAGTTACTGCAATTCATCTTGGTTGCTTTTTTATTGCTTCTCCACAGAGAGTTCCTGAGAGACTACAGGAGCATCAAGGGCTTGTACATGAGACATAGACAGGCAGACAACAATTGAGTCAACACAGGCTGAGCCTAGAGTACCTGTAAAGTTTGAGCTCACGTCTACCTGAGCCAACCTCCTGCTCTTATGTTTTGGTGATATATCTCCCATAGCATCCACTCAAAGCAGGGCACTGGCTGAGCTACACGTAGTCTGGCAGATGGACCTTAGAGAGAGGGAGAGAGAAGGAAAAAGGGAGGAGGAGCAATGAATGTGAATTCCAGCCAAGCGGGGATAGCATCCGCATCGCGAGACACCTGTAAAAACATCATTTTTCATCTCGGGCTGTGGGGGAAGGAGCAGACTGAAAATGGAAGAGAGAAAGAGAAGAGACTTTTGGTTGGTCCATGTGTGTATGTGTGTGTGTGATTACCTCCGCTACCACTAAGTCCTTGACCAGGTTCTTGCTTCAGGTTTCCACTACCCACAAAGCCATACTCTGACCAGGAAGCAAACATAGAGACCCAACCTGCTTGTTTGGTTCTGGGCTAGCAGGTTTACCAGATTACCAAGATGGTTGAGACTTCCTGACCAAGAAATCCTTGCAAGCTTGTTCAGATACCTAGTGGGGGCACCAGTGTCCCATGACGGGGATCAGTGACTAGCACATGTTTGCCCAAGGTATCCAATAGTGTTCCTGGAGGGCCATCTTCCTGCAGAGTTTAGTTCCAACCTGGAAGTTTCTAGTAATCCTGAAGACCTTGATTAGCTGGTCAGGTGTGTTTAATTAGGATTGTAACCAAACTCTGCAGTCAAGGCAGTGTTTCCCGACTCTGCTCCTGCAGGCACACCAACAGTACACATTTTCAAACTCTTCCTAATCATACACACCTGATTGAACTCATCAGCTTGTTCATAGAGACTCTGAGACCAAAAATAGATAAGTCAGATAAAGAAGACATCCAAACTAGGTTTGGAACAGGGTTGGAAAACACTGGTTTAAGGTACACCATCTTATAGGCCTACCATCACTAATCTAGATTTTGATTCTCCTCACAATTTGCTTCTGTCAACTATTCTACAGATCAAAGCCTCATGATCTGTCTTCCTTGTGGGTTTTCAACCATCTAACCAACCTTTTTAGCTGATCTGAGAGCTTCTTAACTTTTCAGGTAGGAATATTCCTGGTTTAATTGAGAGTTTATGTGGCTACCACTGTGGTTACTACTGAAAATAGTTTTGACCAAACCTTTAGTTTCTTCCTTTAAGGTTTGGATTTGGACTGTGGTAATGGAGCATTTGCAAGACATTCTTCTTTTCAGTCTTGCTAAGTAAAGATTCAGAGTAGAAAGCCACTATTTCAGCTGGATGCACCGCCCTCTGTACATTCTTCAATCTATTAATTTGTGTGTTTCTATAAGTCAGGAGTGTTCATTTCTGCTCCTGGAGGGCCACTGTCCTGCAGAGTTTAGCTCCAACCAGCTCCAACACACTTGCCTGTTTCTAGTGAGACCTTTCTGAAGACCTTGATTAGCTGATTCAGGTATATTAAACTCTGCAGGTAAGTGGCCCTCCAGGAGCAGGATTGGACACCCCTGCCATAAGTGAACACACAGAAGAAAAAAATGCGATGTTCCTTCCAATTCTTCTTAGGATAAAGAAAAATAAATGAAGTCAGTATGCACCAGATGTAAGAAAGAGTAACATTACATGGAGTACTTAGAGTTATGTAGACCTTTGGTGTCATTTGAAATGTGGTAATTAACTAAATTAAATTGCTAAATGACACAGCTATGAATCCTGTCAGCTAAAATGGTTGGCAATAAATGTAGTCTACCCTATACTTGGAAAGTAAAGAGGACAGCCTTTGATGAAATAAGTGGGAACATCGCCTCTGCAAAAGGTCGAAAATGAGCACCTCACACCTATTAATTCTGTTCATAACCTTTAAATGCATACCCAGGCCAATTGTGGTTTTGACACGTTGCAGAATTGAGTGGAAAGGTGGGACTAAATGGAAGAAAAAAAATGTCTGGCGGTTTTTCAACTTGTCAGTCATGAGGGGACCCAGTGGACACCTTGTTGATTGACCATAGATCTCGCACAGAATGTCTAGAGACCTTTTCACATCTTTAAAATAGGAACAACGAACACCCTCACAGGGTGAGAAAACTCGCCCACGACATGTAGTGTTCTTTTTTTTGTTTGTTTGTTTCATTGGTAAAAAAAAAATTAAATAAAAAAAATAGTAAATAAAACTCTCAGACTAGTGAAATACAAGCTTTGTAGTCTTGTGTCTGGGATTTCTTGATGAAAATTTACGTACTAATCCTCCCATTGTCTCCACTGGTAAAGCTCAATGATAAGTATGTTCCTTTGTGTAATATTCACTTTTTGAAGATTCTCTTTGATGTTTAGTGAAACAACACAGGTCGCTTAATTTCATTAAGAGGGTTACCTGCAGCATACACGATTAAAATGCTTTTTATAGAAAACTATTGAGTCTTCATCTCATGTGAGTGTACAACATTCAGATCAGTGGTTCTCAAACTTTTTACGCCATGTACCACCTCAGAACATATTTGACTCTCCGAGTACCACCATAATGACCAACATTACAATACAGTAATTCTATGCACAGTAAAAGAAAAAAAAAAACAGGCAGTTTTATTCCTAATAAGAATCAATATTATTGTCAGCCACTTTAAACATTGTTAATACATAATTTGAACATTAACATTGCGCTGTGCTTACATCCAGGTAAATGAAAAACCTGCATAATTAAATTAAAAACTTGACGGAGCTCAAACTCAAAACACACGGTAGCAACAAACAGGACATTCCTCTGCGTACCACTGGAGGGAGAATCAATATTATTGTCAGCCACTTTAAACATTGTTAATACATAATTTGAACATTAACATTGCGCTGTGCTTACATCCAGGTAAATGAAAAACCTGCATAATTAAATTAAAATATGTTGTACTATATTGTACCTAAAAGTTAAATAAAAACTGTACTGTACTTGAATGTTAAAAACTTAAATGTACTTAAACATTAAATGACAATGTGTTGTACTTAACATTTAAGTACAGTACAGTTTTTATTTAAATTAAGTAAAAAAAAAAAACTTGATAAAAAAATTAACACAGGCTGTATGTGTAGCTACAAGTAACAATCAGGCCAAGTGTCCACCAAAGCCAGATGAAAACACCCAGCTGTGAGTGCTTGTTGAGCGCTTGAGAGTGCAGCGGTTTTAGTTTTTTCAGTTGAGACGCTGTGGTTACTATGATACAGAATATCTGCTGAAGCAATATGGCAGACGCATCGCGAATGAAATGTTTCTCCAAGCATTATTTTTCACAACAATATTATGGTAGTCAGACAATTCCACCTGGTAAAGACATAAATACTCAGAGACAAGCAATATTAACTTCTCCATTGTTGTTCAGTCATAGTACAAGCAGGGTGTGACGGTTAGTCGGTATTAGTCCCACCCCTCCTCCACTGTGATTGGTTAGCTGACTAAAAAGTGACAGTGATGAGTGCTGCGTTTTATCCAAAGTTGAACTTTCTTCAACTCTTGTTGCCGCGCGTTTAGCGTGAAAAAAGATGCTCAGCGCTCGCCACGCTCCCGGCATTTAAAAAAACGCAGCGCTCCCCTTTAAAACAATTGAAAAAATTTGTTAGCTTTGGGGAAAAATACGCTTTGGTGGACACGCGGCCTAATTTATATGTAATTCAGTGATTCCTCTGCGTACCACTGGAGGGAGCTCGTACCACACTTTGAGAACCACTGATTCAGATCACTCTTCATATCACAAAAACACAATTTATTTATTGATGTGTAACATGTTTTACATTACCAGCAAACTACTGAATGCACCATTAAACATAATTGAACTGAACATTGTATCACTTCATATGAAGAGTTCATTTGCAAAAAACGATAATTTTTTCATAAATCATGGTTTTTTATTGCGCATTCCAAGTAATAACAATCAGACTGCAGTTGGGTTGTTTTGATTAAGTAATAATAACTTAAACAAATACAGGTAATTTAGAAAATTAAAGTTCATTGAAAGTATTTTTTTTTTTTTACATATTAAAAGTTTGTTTTATAGCAAAAGCAGATAACTCCAACAGTCGTTTTTTGGCAAAAGCAGATAACTCCA